TGATGTTGCTGTTGTTGTTGAAGTTGTTGTTGACGTTGTTGTTGTTGATGTTGATGTTAATGTTGTGGTTGCTGTTGTTGTTGACGTTGATGTTGTGGTTGCTGTTGATGTTGTCGTTGATGGCGATAATGATGGTGTTGTTGTTGACGCGATCTGATCTATATTGGAAAAATGAGATTAAAAATGGGACAAACTAATTGGGTAAGGCTTCGCCCAAAACTTTGCATGCTTCGTTCTACTAGTAGTGCAGTTGATTATGGATGCATTATCATAAACTTTACATAAGTTCCGATAAATTTACAAACCTTACGGCTTCTAGAATGCTTATTTATAGCTATAACTATACTAGAATTGTTCAAACCGTTAACCCTACAAGTAATGCAGCTCTAGTAATGGTTCATTTGATGTCCTATGTAGCTGTGAGTGTAGAAAATGATGATAAAAACTTGCCACCGAGTAATCAGATGAGAACATCCCCGAAAACAGGTACTGAACATCAAGGCTTTTCAAGAATCAAAAATGCATTTTTGTGTTTTGATGACCGTGGCATATTCGAACATCTTACATTTTTGAACATACAATCTCAAATAAATCTTCCAACCGGTTAAAAACTCGTTTAGATTCGTGAATGTCAGTATTAATCTGAAGACGAGATTGACATGATGCATTTTAATGTGTGAATCTATATAACGGCCTGTCCGCAGGTAACGCACTCACGTTTTTGACAACTTGTGGCTTAATTTTCTCCATAATAGTTAAGCGCTGACGCTTGAAAACTTGATAACATATGTAGGTCACAGAGTACTTGAAGTTGTGTGAGACTCAGAGAAATAGGCTTTATTGTTTATTTTTTATAATAAAAATACACGTCGAAAACGCACTCACAAAAAAGGCCCTTGTTGATGTGGGTATCAAGAGAAAATCTTAAATTCTTGCGAACGTTAACATCAAGAACATACCGAACCCAGTGTAGTTTACAGAGGTTAGTTGAAGCTCTTCATTGGAAAAAAAAAGTTCTAATACTTGTTGTGTTTCCCAGAAATTATAGATGATATATCATGGTAACGCACTCACAATTTTGGTAACGCACTCATACTTTATTCTAACTTTTTTTTTTGCTCTGTATCTATGAACTTTTTTTTATATAGACAATATAGAATATCATTTCTTTTTTTTCTTTATTATCAAAATCTTCGAGTTTAGTCATATAATAAAGGACAAATAAGTAACAAGAGTGGAACAAAAAAAGTATAAAATATAGTATAATATAAATTTCACAAAAAATACATAATACAACCAAACAGTTTACTACATGTTTTTTTCTTCATGAGACTAAAAGAAAACTGTCCATTTAGCAGTCGAATAATCATATAATCGACATTCAATTACATCTGTTCGTATAACATGAACACTATGTAATTTTTGAGTATCTTTAACAGCAACAGTATTTTGAAACAAATATTCTAATTGTGTTTTCGATAAATCAATATGTTGTTGAGTAATTTCATCGAGAATGATAACTCTCGTTTTTGTCTTTGCAATATTTATGAAATCTGATGCATTTTCACATCTCACTTTATTTGTTAAGACTTGTAACCAGACAATTCTCTTAACTGTACCGCCTAAACCATCGACCACACCCTTCCCATGACTTGTGGCAAAGAAATGCCACGAAAAATTTAAATTATAATAATTTGACATTTGTGTCAAATTCCTGAATAAAAATCGCTGTTTGAATTGACTGCCCGCGCCGTCACTAAAGAATGAAATTTCCTCTAGCATTGGCAATTCTTGTTTCAATTTTTCGACAATGTACTTGATACAGCAACTAACAAAAAACTTATCATGGTTAATATTATCAGAAGCCAATGCAAATGAAAAGTTATTTGATCCACACCAAGCATAAGCCGTGAATATGGAAATAGATTTAGAACTCCAGTGAGCAGATTGAATTTCATCTTGTTCCTTTATACTGTAGTTTTCACTAAAATCTACTTGCACTACAATCTTTGTATCATCAGATGTTGATTTTGATTCTTCAAAATAAGCACTTTGCTGGCGTTTTATAAAAACATGTAATAAAAATGATTCCACTTGTGAAAATACTAATTTAACACATTGTTCAACTGTTCCGCTTTGCTCCTCTTTTTTGGCATAACCATTAATATGTTTCCATTGATACCATGTGATATGAACAGTTGGATCAACAATATTATTAGTGATATGTAAATTAAAATAATTTTTACAAGAAGAACATTTTGATGCCATACATTCATAACATGAATCATCACAAACAAGTGCCGATGTAAATGAACGTAGATCTGAGCATGAAGATCCATTTATATGTTTAGATAAACTACTAAGAAGTAAACTAATATTTTCATGATATACACACACGCATATACGATGTGCCATTGAAGATTTTACTACAACATGTTGAGGTCGCATTTCAGCAAAAGTAGTTCGAGCAATAGAAATACCTTAAAAATAATTAAAATATTATTAAAATATGCATAAGAAAATTTTACCAGGATTTTCAGCAAGAAACAATTCAAATGCTTCTCGAATATTATACAACAAAATTCGTTTTTGATAAACACTTTTATTTCCGTTTTCTTTGATAACAATTGTATCACGTTTGCCTGGCATCTGATATGATACGTCATCACGACAATAAAATGCAGTAATATTATCTTGAGTTTCTGTTGAAATTTTTCTTGTAATACGTTGATGAGTATGACGAGGCAAAATACCAATTGTTTGAGCAAGTGAACGGATTACCAATTTCTTTTTACCAATGTCTCGTGGAAGAACTTTTGTTACTTTTTTTAGTGCTTTACCAAGTGATTGTTTTGATGAAAAAGAATTTCTAAACAGAAATAGATTTTTATAAAATATGACTAGTAGAAAATAGGTCATACTCCGACTCGAGTTTCTTTTGATCACGATATTTTTTTTGTGTCAGGGAATGTTTTTTATTGTATTTCACTTTTTCTTCATTAGTCAAAGCATGACGAAATTTTTTCATACGTGTAGCATTTTGCTCCTTCATTGTTTTATACAATCCCTTTGCCTTCAAATTTTCACGATAACGCTTTTGTTTTTCAGCAGATGTTAAAGCCATTATATTGTAAATAATATACCAAATATGAAAAAATACTTTAAACAATAAATAATGATTTAATTTCTTATAAAATCTAAAATTCAATAATATGAAAATATGATGATCGCGTGAGTGCGTTACCATTTTCTCCCCACCTAGAAGAGATAAGCTATAGCAAATAGGGTCTTTAGATAGCCCATTGAAAGTTAACAACATTGTATAAGTTTCAATTAAAATACTCGAGCTGTTCGTGTGCTATAAAAACAACAAGCATGTTTTGGTAACACACTCACTCTTAGAATTTATTGAACTCGTAAAGCTCCATATTTTCTACCATCAATACTGCAGTGGATATTATTCATAACAAGTAGTGACCCAAACCTTAAAGATCGAAAACACATAGTACACTTTAATCTATAGCTTTTCTCAAGTTAATTTTTTAGATTTTTTTGCAATGAGATAAATATGACGATATTTATATCAGAAAGGTGTCACTAATGTCCGGCCATTTTTTTTTTGATTTTTGGTACTTGAAAAGGAAATGAAATACATTTTCATATACACAAAAGTGTGCTCTACAAAATGGCATAAACCATTTTTTAAAATTATCGACTTCTACTTTAATCACCTAGGGTGACCGTTACGCGGACAAGCCGATAATATTAACATTCTTCCTCAAGATATAACGTACTAAACTAGAAAAGATAGGAATTTTTACCGAAAAAAAATCTAACGAAATTTCTCCATATATGTTTAGCTCGTTAGTTAGCAAAACTATGATATTTTTGTAGTATTTATATTAATATATTTACTCTGTGCTATGAATATTGCTGATTGATTCATAAATATCAAAGAAGAATTGAGATTAAATTCAATTAAAATCAAAGTAAAATTTGTATAAAATAATTGACAAGTTTGATTTGTTGAAAAATAATTTAATGTCGATATGATTCCGTTTGAATTTATCATTTCACATATACATTGATTTTGCGTTATATTCCATAATGATTTATATATATTACCAATCAATATATTATTATCGATTTTACCGATAAGAATACAATCACCAGTAGAAAATATCAGTAAAACAAAAAATATCCAAAACATCTTCTATGACTTACCGTTGTAAAAATGTTTTAGTAACTAACATTACTGTTTCTCTTTCCTTTCATTTTCTCCAACTCTCTCGGTTAATATTTAATCACTACCAAAAAAAAGTGCTGTAGATTGTTAGTCAGGTTTGTATGAAAAAATAACTACAGTCATGACTAATATACATACACAAAGCGAGTAGAATAGCAACAAGAAGAAAATATTACCTTAGTTTTTTTCAGCCATTTATGGAATTGAAATTGTCACTATCAAATGAAGAGAAGAAAAAAGAAACAGCTTATTTTTTTGTATATGTGTAATGGCTTTTTAAAATTAAATTACCTTCAGAATACTCATTCAATGTTATAAAAAGAAAAGAGTTGTGATAATTAACGAATTGCTTTATCTTAACGTTGAGTTATCACATGTGTTTCTGCAATAGAATGTTGTAGAAAATGGAATGTTTTTCTTGTCAGTATTTTACATATAATAAAAGACATCCGCGTTGTCATCAACAATAATTACATAAAATTTGATCGAATATCTTAAGGATGTAGAATTGGGTATAGTTGTGAATACGTACTTATCTCAATTTGTCTTTTTAATTAATTTGAATAAATTATCTATATTATATCTATGTTTATTATAAAACTCGAAAATTTGCATACTATATAAATAAATAACAAATCAAGTTTTTCATTAATTATTAAATTACGCGAAAAGGATTTCCATGAGGGGTGGCGGTTTATTAAAAAAAAGTGGATAGTAGTATTATTCTTTAGAAGAGAAACCTATATTGTTCTACCTGTTTTCACTATTTGTCTTTGTCAAAGTATCTATTTTCGAGAGGTAGCGGTCGCCGGTTCGCTAGATCCGCCCCTAACCCACACCCTGATTTATGTTCGAAAAGAGCAATACAATCTTCAGATATTTTATAAAGACTTTATATAGAATTGTATGATTGTTTCATTTGTTTGCAAAATATAGATAATAAATAAAATCAATGTAGACTTTTGTGATTAAAATTGAGTTTATCTCTGGACATCGATTAGCAAGAGAGACTAAAGATTTTAATCGAAAAGTACAAATAATCATATATAACATGCTATATTAACATATGTACTAGGCATATGATTAGATAGATAAAATAAAGAACTATTATTTTTCAATGTCAACAATGATCAATGATTTTTTATTGACATGCATTCAAAACCCACCATTCATGGGCAATAAATTATAATTATAATAGTTAAACTAGATTAAAAGGAAAAAGAACATCGCTTTCAATTCACCACTTATTGTCCACCAACGAGTGAACCATGAAGGTTGTTGACGGTTTCAGAGAGTGAACCAAGAACATTAAGACCATGACCCATCAATTGGTTTTGAAGATCAGCTAAATGTGGTTTTGAAGCATCAACAATGTTTGAAAGAACACCACTAAGACTTGAAACAGTTTGTGAGATAACACCTTGAGCAGTTGCGACAGCAGCAGCCATTTGACTTGAAATTTCTAAATAATAAAATCAAAATCTCTTTCATTTTCATTCATTAAATATTACTATACATCTACTTACGGCTCATGAAGTCACCAAGAAAACGTGATCCAGCTAATGAACCAACAACAGCTGATAAACCTTGGTTTAAGAGGTTTTGACCAATGGCAAGGAGTGGTGTTGAGATTTGACTAAGAAAATCAGTAAACATAGCTTGAAGATCACCGAAGATACGACCTAGAGTGTATGATAAGATTGTACTGAATGTATTGAAATAGAAATAGATGAGAATTAATACATACCACCAAGGAGTCCTGTAAGTTGACCCATAAGTTGACCAAGAAGACCGCTGGCGGCTTGAGCAAGGAGTGGTTTGAATTGATCAAGGATGGCATTGATATTGAAGTCTAATCGACCGCCGATTGAAGCAATAAGACCTGTGAGTTGACCAAGAGCTTGTGTAGCAATATTCATGAGTTGGGTTTGAAGCATAGTCATGGTTGATTGAAGAATACCTTGTCCTTGTGAAACAAGTAAGTTCATGATATCAACACGGGCATCAGAAGCCATGGAACCAGCAACACAGGCGAAGAAGATGAGTGCAATAGCAGCGTTCATTGTTAAATGTATTTAGTAAATTTGCTAAATGTGAATGAAGAGATGAGAATGGTGGGTGACTTTACAATGAAAAATAGAGTGCTTTTTATACCCCCAATTTTTTTTCAAAACACCTACACACTTACGAGATAAAATCAATCTGTATACATACGAAATAACAGAAAAACAAATCCATATGTTTTATTTTCTCATTGACAACTAATCAGCAAACCAATTTCGTACTTAGAAAATAAATTAAACACATCGAATTTTAAAAAAGATTCGACGTTATAGATAAGAAAAATACCTTATTGACATTATTTTTTATTGCTTTTTTTAAATTCAGTACTATTTGTTATTGTTTATCGTATAGTTATTATAACATTTAGTACAAAATAAAAGAATATGTGATAATTGCTTTCGTGAGTATTTCTTATTCTTATAGCATAGAGCGAATTATCAAAATTTTCTTTTCTAAGACTAAGATCTAACTATCTTTTAACATCAATAAAACCATTTCTAATATATATTGATTTATTTGTATTAATATCAATTCAATAAAACGACTTCTAATTAGAGTTCTGAATGATAAACACAAAATACTTTAAAATCCAACCTCAAGATGGTTTTCTGGTCTAAATAACTATAAGACTTTTTATTAATAATGCAAGATATTTTAATCAATATTCATTTACGAATGTCTATGCAAAATTCGATTTCCTTCTTCATTGGCAAATTCCATTTGTTTCGGTATAGTAAACCAGAAATGCCATAAATATGTGCTAAAAAAGATTACCTTATTGACTAATGACTGAAATTTCAATATTCGATTATCATTATGTGCCTTTTCAGTTAGATTCGTTGATGGATATTGATATAAGTGATTTGTTTGCGTACCGGTGGTAATAAAAAAGAATTTGAGTGGATAGAACATAATGTAAAAAACATGCCAAATTATATTTCGAAATATTGATTGATATTGTGATGATTGTCTTTCTTGACGGTGATGTTTAAGTAAACGTTCTACATAAGAATCTTCGAATTCTTTTGGATCATGTCGTTTACGAATACGATCACAATATTCGAATGCACTTTTATATTTTATAAATAAAGCTGGTATCATTCTCAAAGGTTGAATCAATGCAGTTAATGTTAAATCAGCAGCTGTAAATTGATCATTAAATAAATATTGTTTTCCATCAATATTTTGTTGAATTTCTTCTAAAATACATATTGTCTTATCAAAAATATGTTCTTCTCGTATTTGATGAATTCCAAAACGAGCAATTACAATACTCGAACCTATTAAACCAAAAAAATAAGAAGACCAATCATCTCGTGTTGTTTTATTATAGTTTCCATCGATCAAAACAGACAATATAGCTGGTTTTTCACTAATGACATGCAAATAAGCCAAACGTCGAGCACATAAACCTAATTCACTATCTAATTTTAAACAATATTGGATAATAACATCGTTTTTAGCAATCATATTTGTATGAAATAATGTTTTTTTATCACCATAATGATTGTCAAGATAGAGTAGAATTGGTGTTGAATCAGAAATAAATGTAGATTCATTATTTGGATCTTCAATAATAGGTACTAATTTTTGCAGGTTTGACGGAGCATTTTTAAGTCCTGGGCTTCGACGAGGACTATAGTTAATTGATTCATATGCTAATGAATAAAAATCTAATGCCCAACGAACTTTATCACAAAAATGTGAATATGGAATTTGATAAAAATGTATTGGCTTCAGTTGTTCTTTTGCGATACAATTCATGAAGAAAAATAATTTTATACTTCACTGTAACTATATAATGTCATCTGAAAGAAATAAAAATGGTTTTATCAGATCATATGGCACGTTACAGAAAAAATAATAATACAAAATTTATGCATACAGCAAGACATAGTAGATGTGATTGGTTAAAGTTTTAAAACGAATCCCAAACTGCAACTTGAGTCATTGAGAAGATTAACTAAATACATTAATTTATTTATATATAAGTATTTTTTATTTCCACCTTACTCTTTTATATGGTAAATTGATTAAAATATGCTACCTCATATATATAAAACAGATGTCGCTATTACTTATAGATCTAATAAATTGAAGGTGTGAGTGAGGGATGTGGGGTGTGTTGTGCGTATGCGTGTGGTATAGAATGCAAGTATGAATATGAGTTAGTGTGAGTGTCTTTTGAGCAAAGAGAGACTCATCCACACTCTCAAGATTAAGTCGAAGAATGACGGGGATAGTAAGATACAACAACACTATGCCTATATGTATGGATTAGAACACACCGAATCTGACTAAAGAATGGAAAATAGAACATATATTGATCAAACTTTTTTCGAATAAAAATCGATTATTTAACGAAAAATCAAGTATTTAGTTAAATATTGATAACAGTCCGATAAGCATAATAAAAACCATCTTGAAGGTAGATGAATGTGAGTTATGGTTATTTATTTTGTCTCTTGTCCAAACCCACATTTAAACTCACCCTTTATATTATAATTCAAATTACATATCTCATATTATCATGATAAAAATATTTCCATCATGTTTTACATTTTAATTACGTACGAATTGTACTAAGACCTATTTCTTTCATATTTATTTAAGACGCGATATTGACAAAAACGATATAGGGTGTGGGTGCGGTGTATATAAATGACGATATGACTGCATAATATCTATCGTACCCACTCACTCATTCATCCCTCACCTTCAAGATATTAGTCATATTATAATCGACTTTGAGATAAAAACTACGTAGAACAAGTCATTTAGTTCATCTTTTGCTCACTTGGATAATATGATTATTTATATTCTAAAACTTTAAATACTTCCACTGGTTAGATTAAAATATAGAAGCAGTAGATCTTTATTTTGTTGCAAAAAAAACGTCTTTGAAAGGTAATTTAATTATAAAAGTCTTTGGATGAATTAAATTGCATGAAACTTTTCATGACTAGATAATTGTTTATTGAGCAATCGTTGAAATGGTTTTTCGACGAAAATAAACCAAATCACAGATATAATGAGGCAAATTATTAAAACAAGTATTAAGCATACAATTGTTAGAATATCGATTGAGTAGCGTGTAGGATCAAATATATGACTGTGAGTCATTATCAATTCGAATGCAATTCGACAATGAATTACATATACCAAATAACTCAATTTAGCAATCGGTGTCCATATTGGATGCGATAGAAATGATCTAATCCATGGACTATAGTAAGGATGTGTTGCTGGGCAAATAGCTGAAAAGAGAATAAATGCTTGTGCTATTGCAAATATTTGTCGCATAATGGAAACCATAATTGTTAATACTACATCACTGACTGCATTTGGGTTAGGTGGTATCGTCAATATGATCATATATAGGAAAATGAGTGTTAAATAAATATATTTTTTAATCGTTCCATAACGAATCATAGTGTTATTTTTTGCATTAATTAGATTAAATGCGAGAATGGATCCAATTATAAAACTTGAATATCGACTTAATAATGACATGTACATTAGTTCCATGTACGGTTTTACTGGGCTGGGATCAAGTACCTTTTCAAATCCCAATGTGACATTATATTCAATTGTGACCCAATCAAAAAACCGTTGCGGCATTAATAGCTCCAAAACATTATTTTGATATAAAAGTACCAACAAATTCATAGTCTTTGGATTAAAAATAAGCATTGAATAAACAATAGACAATATAACAAGTATATATAATGCTAAATAAGTTTTCTGATAATTCGATTTGGAGCTGATGACGAGATGAAGAATGATAGGTAATATTATATGTATTTGCATATCAAGACTGACACTCCAGAGTGCAACAAACCCCCATGACCATTGTTCCGTACCAACATAGTTTTGATAAAATAACCAGAAATATCTCCAGCTTCCTTGGGATTCACCTAATATCAACATTATTATAGTAATCAGAAAGATTCCCGGCCAAAAACGGCAGGCACGTCTCATTATATACAAAGGATATTCTTTCCACGAGAAAGAATCTCGATGTTGAATAAATTTTAATGTGAGAAGAAAACCAGATAGCATGAAAAATGTTTCTAATGATAACGCTGAAAGAGTTATAAATTTGTATGTATAACTATTCAAGTAAGTCATCCATTGCATATGTGGATAAGATGGAGTAAATGTATTCAATATATTACCGATATGTATTAAAACAACAGTTAAACAAGAGATCGACCGCATTCCATTGATCGGAGCATATTTTTCTGATTGAAATAATGAGTAGATATCTTCTTTTAATTGCCACATATTCGCTTTTGTAAATAAAAAATATATAAGTACTAGTAGAAATGTAACGTGGTCTTGCTATTGTAATAAAAATCAAGAATGGCGAAAAGAAAAGAGAAAAGACACGAAATAAATATTGTTAGGTAGTCATATCTATACATCATCCCATCACCTATATTATTCTTTTTCTTTTCTATACGAATGAAATGTGCGTTTAGGTGTATCGTTTAGGAGGAAAAAAATAACACTGTTTCAGTACTTCTATGCACTAGTGGAGATTTTCGTTATTACAGTCAATTCCTATATACTCAGCAGTTTTAATGTATAAATTAATTCTATTAAAGTTACTCAACATTTATATATTGTTAAATTTCGATAATTCCTTTCGTTAACTTCATTGGTTTTTACTTTTTCTTTATCGAACATATAGAGATTGTTGCGCTTTATTATAACTATATGTTGTCAATAGTTGATTTCAATAAATAAGATGAAAGTATATTGAAAGTGAACTAAATCACTACTCAGGTATTTTTCAACTTTTTCAGTAAATTCGATGGAGAAATAGAAAGACGATTTGCTATTTTTTTTTATCAAGAATATCTAAAATGAGACAGTACTCAATCTAGATGGTGTTGATATATATCTTTGCATCTGTGATGTTTCTCGAATAAATTTTCTTTTTCAACAACGATCATTATATACAATCTATACCAAGTGAGTTTTGTGAATGAATTGTGTAGTGCATTAATTGAAGAAAAATAGAAAATTAGCTTCACCTATGTTTAAAAATATTATGATTGATGAAGATAAATAGATGAAACTATTTATTCAATACTTTATTCTTATTAGCAAGTAAACGATTACAATCCAATTTTTCATTACACTGATCTATAGCACGTCTGTTATAATGAAGATTATTAATATTTATTTCTACAACAGAAAGAGAAAAAGAAAAATATGCTGATAAACAAACTAAGTTGTAGAATTTTTATTTTGTCACTTTCAAGAATAAACTTCACTAATAGAACAACCTTCATAATTAATACAAATAAAATAATCATGATGATATGAAGACTGAGAAATAAAAAGCACAGCTGTTAGATGTTACAATGATCGATTTCCTAACTGCTTAATTTTTCATATTTCACATACTCTTCCTTATAATTATCATTTTCACAAAAATATTACTGATCGATGCAATATATACTATCGAAAAAGAACCATTTTTCTATGATTTCAATAAATAAAAATTAACAATGATTCAGGCAAGAAGTAGCAGGTGTATATATGATTATGACTTGAATTTCAACTAGTCATTCATTTATTTCAATATAATATTTAAATTATGACGACTGACAGTGTGAGTATCAATGTTAATACGAAGAATTTAATAAATATATTCTTATACTCTCAATTGAATAGCTTAATCTATTTTTACTTGGAAAGCAAATTATGTGAAGTTTTTTATTGAAACATTGCATTGTGTGTCGATTAACTAAAAATACAAAGAAATCTGAAAAACTTGTCCTCAAATTGAATGATAAATGAGATTATTTATATTTCTAATGAATTTTATTCGTTGTTAGTGAAAAAAATTAAAAAGTGACAGAAAAAATTATTTATCAAAAGTCATTTTATCACCAGAAACTTATTTTAGCCAAGATCAATAGCAAATTTTTGTATTCGGTGATTGCCTGTATCGACAACATAAAGATTACCCTGTTGATCAAATGATAAATCATATGGGCTGTTCAACTCCGTGGGTCCTATTCCAGATTTTTTTTCACCAACGACAGGAACACCTTCTATTGTACCTGGCGACCAACGCATTATTTGATAAATTCCCGCATGTGACACATAAATATTACCCATATGATCAACAATCACGCTTCTCGGTTCAGGCATTGAACTAGAATTTTCGTTAAAAAATTGTCCTGGTGCAATAAGAATGCCTTCGGCTGCATTTTTCATCCATTTCATCACACGTTTATTCCCAACATTCGCTACGTAAACTGAATGATATTCGTCGACGAAGATATACATAGGAAAGTCGAGTTGATTCAAATGATTTCCTTGTCCATTTCCACCTGCTACAACTGTACCTTTTGTATCTCCTTCTTGCCAACGTACGACTTGATGTTCTAGCCAGTCAGAAATATAAAGATCTCCATTGTTATCCATTGCTAAACCCCAACAAGAAATATCAGGTATTAATATTTGTTGATCCTGACTATTCTGAAGAGACCATCGTACCACTCGTCCGTTGCTATAATCACAAATGATGAGATATTTCTTCTCTTTATCAAGAATTACATCTGTTGGCTGATTTAATTGATTCCTTATATCTTCAGGTCCATTTCCAACTGCAACAATTGTACCATTGTTTGCACCAAATTCCCATCTAATAATACGATGGTTGTATGTGTCAGCAATATAAATACTATGATCATCATTATCAACATAAATACCACAAGGATCATTTAATTGATTTAATCCATTTCCCCGTCCATTTCCTCCAGCAATAGTAATTGCATCCTCTTTCCATTTTGTATTGCTATTGATGGTAACTGAAGGAGGTAATTGTTCTATAAAACATTAAAAAACATTTCAATTTCTTTTCTTTCCTTTCGATGTAAAAACTATTTCTTAAAAATAAAACATATTTTATTTTTATTCAACATGATATTTTGATATCACTAAATATAAATTACGAGAATATAGCTGCGGGTATACATGAGTGAATTATAAATTCGATACTACATTCTCATTGATCTCGCAGTGCACGTTTCAATATTATTCTATAGAAGTATGATATATATGACGATCAATTATCGAAGGGTGATCTATTTTATGTCGTTATTCGAATAAAATATTTAAGATTGAATAAGAAAAACTAATTCTAACAATAATTCCTCTTCTATGAAATGTTTCAAATAGGAAACCAGATAGTTTTAACAAAATCATACTATTTGTTGTCGTCGTTGTTGTTTTTATCTTTGTTGATGTTGTTGATATCTTTAGTGTTGTTGTTGTTTGTATCTCTGGTGACCTTGTTGTTGTTGTTAGTGTTGTTATCTCCGTTGTTTCTGTTTTTTCTCTTTTCGTTTTGTTCCGTTTAACAATAATTGTCGAAATAACTATAATTACAATAAGAACAATAATGAAAAATATAATCCAAGTTAATTTTCGTTTTCGATAATGTTCATATCTAGAATAATAATTCTTTTTGATAATTTACTTTAATTCACAATATATACATACAATGTTTGTAATCGTGTTCTGTTAGGGTTACCTGTTGCTAACTAAAATATTCGAAAAAAAATAAGATTATTTTCTTTCTATTTAATATATTACTTCATCAGGTCCAACTGTGTTGTTGATATTCATAGTTATTGTTTTATCTGAACTTGGATACTTTTACAAACTAAAATCAAAGAAAATAGAAATTATTTTTTTTGTTATGAGAATAATGTGAAAATGATATAGTTCTCCCTACTTGTTATGAATTAAAAAGAAATTATTTTGCATGAGTTAAATAAAAACAAGTCTTCTCTTAAATAATCACTTTAAAATATTTTGTAGCATTTGGAACAACAAAATAACATCCTATATCAATACAAATATTAATTTTATTTCCTTTTTTGCAAAGTTAGTTTTGAATAAAATATTTATCATGATTTTTTAGAAAAAGAAAAAAAGAGAAAGTCAGGAAATGACGTCAAATGCTGCATAGAATCCATTGAGAAAGAATAGAATATTTATTGTTACAAAATATTTTGTATTTAACATTGGAAATTTTTTCCAGATGTTCATTTTGATGCACACTTAACTTCTAAAAAAAGTACATTTAATGACGTCTTCATAATTTTCTGTCGATTATTTATCGTTCTCTTCTTTGTATCGTCACATAATGGATCTTTTTTGCGCTCAACGGAATAATGACTAAAATTGTTTTTTAGTTCTGTTGCATGTTCATAGATAATATATGTGAGATATGAGAAGAAAGTTTCCAGTTTTTTTCTTCCATGTTCTTATCTCTCTATTCTTTTGTGTATTCAAGCGACCGAGATTCTGAAATAGTTGACATATCGTTTCAAAAAGCCGATAAAGAAGTACTAATAATTCTGTGGATTCATGTACTTAAAATGATGTAATGTCAGAAGTGGATGAAGAATGTTTAGAGAAGCATGAACCCATCAAAGAAGTAATGTCTCATTCTGAAAATAATACAATCGATATGCTCAAATTATTTAGAATAATTATCGAGATAGGATTGATACAAATGATAGAACTGAACTTCTACTGAAGCAGTAGTCACTTGTATGAGTTCAAGATGAATTGAAATGGTATGTAGAGAGAGTTTTTGAATAATGATAACAAAAATTCGAAGCAGGATAGGCTTTGATTCAAAGAATAGATTTCTTGGAAAACACACGACTACCAGCGTGGGTTTAAGTATTAATTATTCATATAGACCTGCATCCACATCCTTTCTTTATTAAAAAGGCTTATATTTAGCAAAATTCAGTCGATCTGTCTATCAATTCTACTTGCACAATGAAGTATAATTTTTTCTTTTTTCTTCTACCTTATCAGCAATTTATTGTTGTTGATAAGAAATAGCATGTATTTCTTTTCTTTGTTAGAGAATACCACAAAAATAAATATATAATTGCCTTTACTCATTTTGGTGTGAATACTATGCAGAGTGTGGATGGGTGTGGGTGTGGACGAGGGTGTGGTGTGTGCGATCTATATCCATCACACATCTACACCCACCCACATCCTCAAGATCTTTCATCAATTTTTAAAAGTCTTGATATAAAATATAATCAAATTACTGACAAAATGAAATATTCATCGTATAATATTGGGGGAAGGAATTAATATTGTACAACCATATATTCATTCACTTAACATTGACGCTAATGATACAAATGTTGATTTTATGTTTACATCGATTACTAACACAAATGAGTGAATATAGTCTTGTACATGATTATTTAAATAAATTTTTTGAAATGTTATCCGATGAACAAGATAATCGTGATATAATATCTATTTATTATAATAGAGAATTAATTTTTTATCAATAAGGAAAATATGTTCAGTCGATGATTAATTAATGAAAAAGTACTTATTACTCAACCTAAAATATTTGCTGATACTTCTTCAAATTTGGATGAAACTTAAGATGGATTAGCTATAAATCATTTGATGAAGCATTTATATATTACATGTGTGGTTGAACAATAAGTGGAAAAACATTACCTAGTCATCATCATGAAATGGGTGTGGATGTGTCTCTTCTTTACACCCACACCCTTTTATGTAGAGAAGATTTAATGAATACTAGATCTTATACGCCGTGACAAGGCTTCATGTCTACCAAAAAGTTTTACTATTCAGATGGTGCACAGATACTGCTAACACGAGTTATTATTGTTGATAAATTTTATCGTGAATATATGATTATTCAAAGCCTGCGTGATTAGTGTGATATAAAAAAATGTTGATTGGAAGAAAAACAATCTTAACATGCTACTTCATACAACATTTGTGTGTCTTTTGAAGAACCTTTGTAACGGTATCACGAATAAGTTCAAGAACTTTAGCACGATGTTCACGTTTAGGTAACGTTTGTTTTTGACCATGTTGATCGCCATGTGTCAGAACTTTGGGATGAACAAGAATGTTAAATGTAAGAATATCACCTTTCGCGCTATCCTTGCAACAATAACCGAAGGCAGAGGAAAATGTATACATGCCATAATCTTGCGATAGATGTTCGCAGACATTTGTATACAACCGAAATAGTTCTAGTTTATTCATTTTTCCATCAACTCCAAAATCATTCATATGCAGTGTCAGTTTTGTCTCATAATTTGCCATTCCAAAGATAGTTATGGATTCCGGCGATGACCGCCCACCACGTCGGATATTCCAGTCGCGTTGCTTATGTTGATTATCTTTCGTAACAAACAAATCACCTGCATAAATGCCATTCTTATAACCGAATTCCGTAGCTTCTAAAGCCACCATGTGTGAATAGGTATGAAACATCTCTTGCCAAAACTCGGGTGAATCGCCTATATCAGCGGGTGACGACGATGTCCACTAAAACAGTGGAACAGAAATCATATTCAATATAAACTTCTCGGAAAAATTTCTTACCTGTTCGATGTAGACTCCACCTTTCGTTCCACAGAGATTGATAGAAGTTGGGAAAAATTTTCCACTGAGAACGAAACCACAGACTGTGTAGTCTGCATCAATATCATCCGAGCGTTTTTGCGGGTCGATGAACTCTTCTACTACAGCCATGAGCGATAACAGAGGTTCATCTTCAAATACTCTGTCGAGATGGTTATGTAAATATGATACGCGTTGCTCTTTCGCTGTATCAATGTCGTAGATAATCGGGTGCTCACTGGGTGCCACTGACGACCAACCACCTGCGCCCAAACAGTCCAATTTGACGAACGATGTTAACTGATATTTATTATGCAAATGATCAATGGCTTGAATGATTGCTCGTGAAAAGACCTACATGTGGAAGACAACTCAGTTTATTTTCGAACGAATTAAGGGAATATCTACGTATCTCAATATTATCAAATGTGTTTTTTACATGTATGGGATCGACTTGTTCCATATTTGTCATGAGTTCTTGATAGTTTTCAATTAAAGATCCATCGACGGAGACCGGTATCAAGCGTGGTAAAGCTGTGAAACCATTGGATAGCAGAAAAAAATGATGTTGAGCTTTGTCATTATTCGATACGTCAGGAAAGTACAAACGATCCGAATAACTTCCGATTTCATCTTGGTGCCATTTATTCATATCGTAAGGGAAAACGAACGATCGACGAACATCTTTCATAATTGTTTCGAAATGACGCTTAAGCATACGAACATGAGATGAGGTGTCAAAATGTCGAAAGAAAAATGTCGACAATTTTTTTGTCGACAGTAAAATGTCGACGGGTAAAATGTCGACAATAAAAAACGTCGACAAGTACAAATGTCGACAAAAACCGATGTCGAAATCAAAATGTCGACAACAAAAATGTCGACAAGAAATATGTCGAATGAACAATGTCGACAAGAAAATTGTCGACGAGCAAAATATTCACTTCAAAAGACCTGGAAAATTCTATTTTAATCTAGAATGATAACACACCACAGTCTAGTATATTTTCTTCTCTTTGTTTTCTCTCTTTGTGTGCAATGGCCTGGATATAGAATTCATGAAGACTTTTATCTCTCTCTCGCCTATATAAACTATCGATTTTCTCTATCGACCGTCATTTGTGTGCACATCGTCGTACCAGTATAGTCAACACATTATTTTACTTTATTTATCCAGTGCAACATCATCTTATATTTTATCATGTCAACCACTCCTGTTATCAAATTTTCAACTAGTAATAAACGTATGCCAATCTTAATTTGTGATGGGTTTATCTATCAACTGAACAAAAGTAAACCAAAGATCAAGTATTGGCGTTGTAAGGACAGAATGTGCTCAGCTTATATGCATACCGATCAAAATGATCAGTACCTAAGCAAATCAGGTGATCATTATTCACACTTACCCATGCCGGAATCAATTGAACTAAGTATCTTTAAGGAGAAGGTAAAAAAACGGGTTGTAAAAGAGACGGGTGCAATTGGAAAAATTTATGATAATGAGTTAGCTGCGGCTACTTTTACTGATGCTGCTCTTGCACTTGCTCCATTGCCAATTGATGCTAGTTAGTATCTTTACTTCTTAACTTCTCGTATATTCATTTTATTTATATTATAGAATCATCTCTCAATCGTCTAAGACGACAAACAACACCAACATTACCGAAATCCTCTATTTTCGATGTACCCGATGCTTACTCAATAACAACTAATGGCGCATCATTTGTCTTCAGCGATACATTAGTACGCAAAAAGAGAATAATCTTGTTTGCTACTGACGAACAATTACGTACACTTTTCTCCGCAACACATATTATGATGGACGGTACGTTCTCTGCCTGTGTACCGCACTTCGACCAAGTCTTCTCGTTACATTATATCAAGTTCGGATATAGTAAGTCACCCTATGATTTACAAAAAGGCTATTTGATCATTAACTATTGTTTTTAGACTATCCATGTGTTATTGGTCTCCTTCCAGGTCGTACTGTTCCGATCTACAAACATGTTTTCAACTTGTTGGACGCTGCAGCACGCCGTCTCTATCTCAAATTTGAACCGAAACACATTATGTCGGACTTTGAAAAGGCTCTCATCAACACAATAGCTACACAGGTAAAAAAATTCTCATTCTTCTTTCGGTTTTATTATACTTATGCTTTTGTTTCAGTTCCCGAATGCCAAACACTCCGGATGCTTTTTTCATTACACCCAGTGTCTGTTTCGTCGTATTCAGACACTGGGCTTGAGCACACTATACAATGAAAACAACGAAATTAGATCGTTGTGTAGACACTTAATGGCTTTACCTTTATTGCCGGTGAAAGACGTGGAACAAGCTTTTGAAGAACTTAATGAACAAATACCGGAGGAATTAGAACCACTCTTTGAATATTTTGAAGGATGGTGGATGAAACAAGTACCTATTCAATTATGGAACGTATCTGATCTAAAGTCAAAAACTAACAATAATGTGGAGTGTATGACTCATTTTTTTATTCTATATTAAACAACTTTCTTTGTCTCATTATAGCTTGGCATTCCCGATTCAACAAGAGAATTGAAAAGAAACACCCGAATGTGTGGGCGTTTATCAACTTACTGAAAGAGGAAGAAGTCCACTTTCAACAACAACTTATACATGCCAATTCTGGCAAACTGAAAAAAGATTCAAAAAAAACATGTGTAATGCAAGGTAAACTCAATCAATTACGAAAGCGTTACGACGATGGATTAATTCAATTATCTGAATATCATTATCAGCTATCATTGTTAATTGGTATGAAATCAAAATAATTTCAACATATGATATATTGGCACACAACAGAAAAAAATGACTAACATTAATTTTCTCCGTATTCATATGTTCTTTTTTTTTATTCATGTGTATTAAAATTTAACTAAATAAATAGTATATAAATTAAAAATAGTTCTATCTTATTTTTTTCTATTTTCGACATTTTTTGCTAGTCGACATTTTCCTTGTCGACATTTTGTTTTTCGACTGTTTGCATTGTCGACATTTTCATACATCGACATTTTTATACATCGACATTTTTATCCATCGACATTTTTTTTTGGTCGACATTTTACTTTCGACATTTTTTTGTCGACATTATACCTTCGACATTTTAGTTTCGACATTTTGCTACTTCCCCGAACATGATATTCTGGATAGAATTCATCAGGAGATCGTTCGACGAATTTTTCACAAACGATCATGTATTCCTGTGGATTTTCTTCGAACAATCGGATTAATTCGTGCAAATGACCAGCAGAATCTTCGTAGAGTATTTTAATAGGTATATTTCTTTTGAGATGTTGTTCGATCAGATGTTTCAGTTTCAAGTACATTCCCAACTCAATAGGATTTGGCGGTGCATAAACAAGTATTCGACCGCCACAACGAAATCCCGTTGATAACCAGAGAGCAGGAAGAAGTGAACGATCGTAACCACGTAGATCAGCAAAACAGCGAGGATCTGCGCCAAGTATTTGAATGGCAACGTCGTCGAAGAGAATAATTTGATCAGCATCATCGAATGTCCGAGCAATATGGCGAGCTAATTCGACGCGATAGTTGATATCAGCTGAATGCTCAGTACCAAAAGCAGCCAAGGCATCAGGTGAAAGATCGATTGAATTTAGACTGTCACAGTGGCTGAGATTTGGACTGCAGTTAAAAACGGTATCGGTTAATTCAGTCGTCATAGAAGTACTGTTTTCTAGCGTACGAAAATCGATTAAACAAAAGTTTTATTCTCAATTATACAACGACGCACGATGCAGCAACATATATATATACAGCGCCCGCGTGAAGGGTCTAAGATTGGGCGAGGGGGGTGTAAAAGGGTATTTAGAGCAAAATTTGCTAAAAAATCATAAAACTTGTTCCAAATCAGCTTCCGTCCTTGGAAAAAACAAAAATTTCCAACTATTGAGCAGCTGTACACTCTCCCACACCCCACCCCCGCTCCCGTAGGTGCAGTATACGTAGTTATATATGAATAAAGCATTTTAATGCTTGGTTTTTTCCTTCTCTTCCTTGCCTACGGCAATTGAGAAAATAACCATCTGTTCGCAGCAAAGAAATTTTTTTTTCTGTTTCTACTGGACACAGTTAAAAACAGTATTGCGTAGAACAACACAATGATATACACTTCCTTGTTTGAAATATATGATGAATAATTGAAAATCGTCAAATAGAATCATCAATCAAGTAGATTTAATCTAATGAGAGAACGTTTCTTTCTGAAGATATTAAACTTTAGAAAAACAAACAATTCTAGCATCGTATGCTCACAGAGGTCTATCTTATACACTGAATCCGAATCTAAAAGCGATCTAGCAATTGAAAACGTTCGCTCATTAGAGTAAATATTTTGTAGTTGTCCTCTTTTTCTTTTTTTTTCTTATTTACGGATGCAAGTGGCGTTCGCTTCTTTTCTTATAGAATATTTTTTATTGCCTTATCGATTGCTTGTGATTCTATCGATGAAAATACGGTGCACAATAGAATCCAAATTAAACACAGTTTATCATACAAAACTTAGTCCACATAGAAATATTCCGCATATTCGTGATGATAACAATGTAGATGTTTTGTTTCGAAATGAATTATGTGACATTAAAAAAGAAGTATTAGATTAATCTTGTTGAAAGTTATTACTCAAATCCGATTCTATTATATCAAATTCTTGTACAAGATCATAATCTTCATCTTCCCATGTATTCGAATCCATTTGATTGTCTGTTGTTATACTCGATTGATTATTACTATATATTGTTTCTTTCAAATGATCTACATCTTCTGATGACCATTTATTGAGTTGCCATGGAACACTTCCATTGATTTTATTCATCATATCTGCCGCAAATAAAAAATTCGCTTTATTTTGTGCAATCATGATTTCTTTTGTTGCCATTAAATGAACAAATTGACTGTATGCTTTTAATGGTTCATTAGAATTCAATAAACAATGTGCTTGATTAACTAGTTTCGTCCATTCAAATTTCAAACTATTGAGAAAATTTCCGCCTTCTGTTTGTGCAGGCTCATTTCCATAATATAATTGAATACATGATGCTAATTTTCGACTACATATAATTCCATTATTTAATGATCGAAAAAAAGGTACACCAAATGCGGCGTCACCTACTAAACATGTGTTATATTGTTGTTTATCTTGTTGATAATGTACAACTTCAGCCGATTGATATATCATTAGAGCAACAGATGTTATTCTTTCTGAATGTTCAACACGTTTTTCATCAGCATATTCTTTTTTAACATTTAACCATATTGTTATTGTATCTAATAAATCATTAGGTATAAGATGTTGATGTGTATGTAGATAATACGGTTGTTTAAAAGTTGCTAATTTCATTTGTTCATAAGTATGCTGATCAACTAATAAATGTATTGTTATTGGTGTTCGATTATCTTTTTCTGATCCAATATGTTCTTGAATCACATATTTGAATTGTTTTTGTGTTCGATATTGATATTTAATAAAATCTAATTTTTCTCCGTGACCATAAACTTCATATTTAATTTCTATGACATATTTTAATATATCTTGAACTTTCATTTTATTATTAAATACAAGTTGACGAACAGTTGAATGAGAACCATCAGCACCAATAATCATATGTGCATTGATAAACTTATCTAAATTAATTATATTTTCATATTTTATAGGAATTCTTAATTTTTTTGCGAGTTCTAATAATTGACTTTCAAGAACCGATGTTCGAACAACTGATGGTAAATTATCAATGAGATTTGTTAATAATGGATGAGAAGGAAAACCAAAAAACGTGGTAACTTTATTTAAACGGAGAACATGTTTACGTTGATATTCCACATGTTTTTCATAAATAACAAGATTTAGTTGTGGTACAAGGATTTTTATTTGAATAGCTGTCAATAAACCAACTGGTCCACCTAAATACAAATAAATATGAATATTATTAAAATAATTTTGTTTTATTTGATTACCTCCAATAATGACGATTTGTGGACATTCTTCTTCCATGATCAGAATATTCTTTTTTTTTGTTTGTTATTTTTATGATTATCAGTTACGTCTTTTTAATATCACGAACGAGTCGTTAGTTTTGTTTGATATTTTATATATAAAGTAATATTTACCTCCGATGAATGTAATCAAATATTGAGAAGAACGAAAGAGAAAAAACGAATAGGTATTTCATAAATATACGCGAAATATATT